GCCTGATTGATCAGAGGTACTGATAGTGACTCTTGTGAATAGGTGTGCCTGATTGATCAGAGGTACTGATAGTGACTCTTGTGAATAGGTGTGCCTGATTGATCAGAGGTACTGATAGTTATTCCAATAATCATATGTGTTTGTTTCAGAGCACGTCAAGTAGTAATTTTTCATCACAATCATACTTCGCAACGATGATTCCCTAAAGCCTAAATGTTACACATATAGGTTTAAGAATAACAGTGGTATAAAATATGACATAAACGAATATAAAACATGTGAAAATTGTAATACATATATATACATATCTATACAACAAAAAATATTGCAACATGCAACACTGACACTAATTTTCTTTTATTTTCTAATATTCGAGGCTGCTTTTCAGGTCCTCAGTTTTCATATTGTAGCGCTAACATTAATTATTGAGATCAATAATCTAAGAATAATTTAATAATATGATTGATTTATAAAATCTAATCAGTTTAACTTTTGACGCTATTTCGATGTATACTGGTATACAGCGACTACTGTTTGATCTTTATTTACTCACTAGATACATTCCGTCCGATAAATGCATTAGAGGGAATCTCCGCCCAATAACATGGTCTGGAGCTTCTAACCGAAACTCTACTCAAGTCGTTCACACATAAATATTCATACTGACTCTCGTGTCCTCGTCGTGCATAGAAGAAGTCTCTTGCTATCTGTACAGTTGAGAAGGCAATGTCACCTTTACCGTCGAGCAGGCAGTACAGAGCACCTTCTTCTCCAGCGTATATTTGATCTGTAGTACAAGAACTGTTGTGGCACGAGGAACATAAGCGGCGATGAGTGTTTTCTAAAAGCACAGAGAAACACTGAACACACTTCAAGGAACAAGCTACATCATCAAGATGTTACACTAGATATAAAAAAAAAAACTATAGCGTATTTATGTCGGACAAACTGGGGTATTTAAACTTGTTACTTCAGAGAAAAACAGTCGTTATTACTGACGATTCAGATCACTTTCACCTTCACTAAATATAAATATATTTTTCTTATTATAATTGGTTCAGTACTGTACCTTATGTTTTTCACAGTGGTGCAGTAACAAAATGCTTTGTAGTTTACAGAAATTAAATTTTACATTTTACTGAAGATAAATCATCATCTCAGTATCAGCAACTCGTCGGCAAATTCATCTTCAATACAGTATTATAGTATTTTCAAGTAGATAAAAAAGTTGTGAACTCTAGTTTGTTGATACTTTCCGTTTGCTCCCCCTCCCCAGTGGCACAGTGGTATGTCTGCCGACTTATAACGCTAGAATCCGGGTTTCGATACCCGTGGTGGGCAGAGCACAAATAGCCCATTGTGTTGCTTTGTGCTTAACTTCAAACAAACAAATAAAACTTTCCATTCGTGACCAGTCTGAGATTGGACTTAATTACCAGACTTGTTTGTTTGTTTCACCTGAACGAAAAGTTATACACACAATGGACGAAACGGCCAGATCAGATACCTTTATGGTTCAAGCATAGCCATCACTAATTATGGACAGCTGACAAGAGGAAAGGTAACCAGTTGGCATCACCCGCCGCCTAAAGTGGCTACTCATAACCGAATAGCAGGATTGACTGTAACTTATATAATTTATCCACAGATGAAAGTGCGAAACGTTTTTGGCAATATCACGTCTCTAAACCTCGTATCAACAGTCAGATATACGTACCACCAGGCCATGCTCGGGGCCCAATATTTCTGTATTGTTTGTTTGTTTGTTCTAAAGCACAAAATGGGCTATATATGTGCTGTGCTAACCACAAATATCGAAAGCCGGTCTATAGCGATGTGAATCCCCAGACTTACCACTCAGTTACGTGGGGGGGGGGGGATAAAAATTTATAAC